ACAGACCTTGGAGGGCCCATGATGCCGTGAGTGGTAAGTGCTCAGGGCAACGGTGTGGTGGATATAAAGTGCTCAGGGCGACGGTGTGGTGGATATATCAAGAATGGGTCCAAAGGTTATCCTTCGGGGGCAAGACATGTTATGTGAAGCACAGCGATGGCGAGATATCGACAATTAACTCTGTTGGTGGCGGCGGTACTCTTTTTTTTAGAATTTGATCCGAGCACTTTGAATGGATGAATTTCTGAGATCCGCGCCTCACGCTACGCCATAAGAGGCTTGTTGTGTCGAGTCCTGTCCCCCTACCATCCCCGATCGCGCAATTCCCAGTGCAACGGCAGGAATTTAGTGGCGAAGTCTAAAGTGTCGCAATGCCCCAGCCACGGTCCGTCCTGCCCGCTGACGTCACTGACCTTTAGCGCGACCGCTGCCACGGCCGCAGGCCATACCTGTCGAGGGCAAAATAGAGAGCCGCCTAAAGCGACGCGAAACCCACCCCGGCCACGGGTGGGGGGATCGGAATGCAGGCGTTCTAACAAATGAGCCATCGGGACTAACCAACTGAGCCATCGGTACCTGGTGAATAGATGAAGGCAAACGCCATTAGTGTGATCTTTCCACGAAACATCGTGCGGTTAACGATAATTTTCAGACACAGCCGAGGGTGGCTGCCCTTCCCTTCCATCACCGCCACCGTCCCTACTCCAGCCTAGTTCACTACTAGCAAAAATCTTGCGGCGAGGGTGCCAGCATGCACTGGCCCGCCACACCCTGTCTTGGATGTTCCAAAGCCTGCAGGCAATGTCAATATTTCAATCTATGCCTGTGAGGGCAGGAATGAGTCGACTGGTCTTGCGACGAATCAAATAGCAGGCGTTTTGCAATCTCGGACAGAGCTCTCACCATGGTGCACTGACCTTCCACTCGCGTCTTGAAAGCTGTTGTTCCAGCTTAGGTACGGACAACTCAAAAAGTCACGCGCACGGACAATGCCAGCTGAGAAAATCCGAGCATTCATCAATAGGCCAGTTTTAGTTTGGTTTTTGATGAGTGCCGTGGCTAGCGGGTGTTAGGGATCGCTACTAATACACGCCCGGGCGGCCGAGCTGAACATCACACGCTCAGTGGGGTGGGGGGTCAATTTGACCCCCAAAGATCTGAAAACTGAGAGAGCTAGACACCAAAAGCGGCACCAGAGCGGGTTTCACTTTATGGGTTTTGACTAGAGGTACGAGAGCGGGTTTTTTATGTGAAATCACTTATTCCAAAGTGAAGGGTCTCCAGATGATGGCCCTCGGGTCAGGTAAGGTCACACAGGGTCAAACTCCAGATTAGTGTCCACAGTGCCCAAGGCCTCCTCATGCTTCCAACTTGAATCTAGATACCTGTCTTACGCAAAATGTCGCTAGTACTCATTTAGGGCCAGTCACATTGTTTGACCTTCGGGAGGTCATGGTGACTTAAAACTTACGAGGTGTTTTGATTGCCTGATTTGAATAAGCGTCAAAGCTCACACTAGACGATATGTTCGTTAAAAGGTTGATCAGAGCTATTTTAGGTTAGCAACCTACGTTGACCTTTACAAAGTGCATAGAAGATGTCTATTATGGTCCCTGTTATCAAGAAAATCGAAGTTAACAGCAAAAACTACCGTATAATAAAGCTCTACAGCAAAAACCCAGGCTGGTTTCGATCGCGTTGACTTTCAAAGCTGACCCAAGGTTAGTGGGATTTGCCGTTATCCCAAATTCAACTGTCCAACTGTCTAAGAAGCTCTCCCAGGGATGTATGGATTTGCCTAACACTTCGTTGTCGCATCAAATTGAACGATTCCCCGGAAATTGCCTTTGCTGGCATCCACGGCCTGACTGGCCTGCCATAGGTTAACGGCCTTATAAGGTATGCCTAATTTTTGACTACCAAAAGATTCGTGATTCAGTAGGCTGCAGCTGAGGTTAAGTTTGGCGTGGCTATACCCGCTGTTTGAAAATTATTTTCGGAACAAAACTGCAAGGGAGAGGTAAATTTACCCCCATCCGAGCGCGTGTCCATAGATACCGCTTTACCTGGTAGCATTAAAGGTCATCTTTTGTAGCTGCCGCGAGTGCGCACAGGTGTTCAGATAACCAAATAATGTAATTTCCATTCCTGTTTCTACTCTCACAACTTCTGATACAACATTTTAATCTCGCAGCAAAACCCACAAGTTAAGTTGCTGTAATAATCATGTGCAATCAAAGATCAATCACTGGCAAGCCGATTTATTCATTCACGAAACATGTACATTGCCGGTGAGTCGGACCCATATAACCATTAAGGTTGCAGTTACTACGCGCAGAAAAAGGAAAGCTTCGGATGAACAAATGTACAATACATTGTGATGCTGTAATGATGCCTTCCATTGCACACTCTGGCATTATCAGTTATGGTGCCCATAGTGCAACAATGCATCACATATTCAATCATAGGTAAGAGTATACAGTCTTAATCCTGGACAGTTAACATCATGGGACATCAACAATACACTGATATTATGACACGTTAATGTTTATAGGAAGACCATGTATAAAACCAAAAGGATTTCATAACCTCTGTAAGAATAAATGCGCTACGTAAAACCGTAAAATGTCTCAGACCCCTACAATACTTGGTACCCATAATTTCATACAGCGTGGCATGAATCTTACCAAGTGGTTCTGATACTCGATAGGGCCTCGTAACCTCCAGGAGCCGGGAAGTGGAGCGTAGGTTGGGGACATATGTTCATGGCTATCTTGGTTTCACCCCGGTCATTTGCAATTGCGATGTGTGCCTCGCAACGACTCCACAAAAATAAGGACCTGTGACATTTTCGCAACGATACAGCACAATATGCACAATGTCCTGCGCTTCAACGCGTATAACATATAGCGATATCAATCAAGCACTCATGTTGATGGCTGCCAACCTTAACTGAAAATGGCTGGGCAAACCGAACCAAATAGTTATTGAGCTGGATGTGCAGGAGTGGCACATTCTCATGATGTATGTGATATCTTTGTTGCCAGGTTTGTATCTTAACACCTTAAAACTCTGCATACCTCCGTCCTGGCATTTGCGCCAGAATGGCAAAATGCGCGGGCCGTAGCACCTCCAGTACGCACAGTTTTAGCTCTAGAGTTTTTAGATGACAGCAATCTCCTAAAGGTGCAACAGGCATGCGTGCATATTCAGAGAGACAAATTGTGGTGCTGGCTGGCTGGTACACTTTGCGTTTATGAGTCATTATAACGCAAAATTAGGCCTTAGGTCATACATTAACTCTGCGTAAATAAAAGATAGGAGCAAGGTGGTATCTGAACCGTAGTTTAAGTCCAATTTTGTCGCTAACGCGTTACATTATGCGGAAATGGTCACGTGCTTCATTGGACGTTAACCTTCAACTTATGCTTGCCAAGAAATCGTTTTCGAGCTGCAAACGTGGAAAGTCTCGGCCCGGCTTGCGATTCGTCCAACGCTCTTCATTGTACCACGAACGTTTTTCTTGCACCGTACGTTGCAAACTTCCGGATATTCCTTTTCTCCGCACCACGCGCCTAATGGGAGTCGAGTATCGCGTACCACGCGCCTAATGGGAGTCAAGTTGCGCGCAACACATCCTAACGGGAGGCGAATACCATATAATGACGCTTTTATCACAGCAGCTTTGAATTAAAAGCGGTGCAGTCCAACAGCAGCTCAAAAGCGTGACAATATTTCAGGCAGTGGTGATTTATCGGTGCTCAAAAACAGTGCTCGAGCTTGCAGTGCTTTTGCTTGTTCAGGAAAAACGAAATTTAGCTATCCTTACGTTAATCTTGGTCGCTGTAAGTATGGCAAAGGGATCGGGTTAAACGACGTCCAACGGCAAGTTCTCCTGTCCACGAGCCCCGCGAGATCAAACTACATTATCTGTAGTCCTAAGGTGGCCTGTCCATAACCGCAAAATCAATATGTTACGGCCAAGGCAACCTACCGTTTATTTTCCAGGGATAACGAGAGGTCATTTGAGGTCATCCACGGTCTCCCATAGTGTCAATCGTCGATCATCTCAAGATCATTGTGCACCACGATATAAAATGAACACGCTGTGAAATGTCTACTAAAAAACAAAAAAAACCTTGGGCAGGTTCAATGGCCTACCCTGCGTGACCTTGACCATGAACGCCCTTTCAGCACCATCGATACGCTTCGGTCACTGTGGTCAGTGGTTTGGGCGTGTTGGCTAATGAGGCATGCGTTTTAATATCTGACCTAAATAGCACCTGAACTTTTAGATGGCCTTAAGGAATGTCGGGGGAACACTACTGACAGTTTATTGGAGTGTTATGCAGTCTCCCGTGCGGATGTTGAAAGGCTTTCACAATATCTTATTTGACCATGAGCACGTGAAACGTTGAACCGTATTTTCACATCAGTGTATTCCATCGTTGTCGTTGCTGTCTCATTCGTGAATTCGAAATCAAGGTTTTCATAGTTGTCGAAATCAAGCGGACTTGTTAATCTTTATTTAATTTATGACGGAAAAAGGAAGAAGTTTCAAATTATGTACCCATGCGGCAGGCAAACACAGCAAACACGAAACTAAAAGTGTTAACGGTACGGGACAAAGGGATTGTGCTTTCTGAAAGCTAGCGCTACCTGTCTCCCCCCCCCCCCGCCCCCCACGGTGGCCACAGTCTGCTTGTGTTCATAGTTTAGTCACCAAATAATCGGTTTGACCCGTCAGTTTACCTGCCACCCGCCCGGACGTCAAATCCCGACAACGGCTGTTGAGAAACGGAAATCGTACGTTTAAAACGTACCTAAAAATGAAACTATGCAAATGCCCCCCAAACAGGCTGAAGTTGAATCTTCGATGACGGAAAACGGGAAAATGATTGTGTGCGAAATTATCTACATGGTGCGAGCATCTGAAATCAGTTGGCACCGCAAATCTGACGGCTAATGCACACAAGCCGCATCCTACTTCCCGTCACATTTGAACGTCATTCCCAAATTGCCAGCCCGTCTTCCTTAATTAGCAAGAGCAATTTCGCTGCAATTAAATACCGTTGAGATTTACAACGGGCTCGAAAATTATACACACGTACTTAACGTAGTGGGTGACGCCTTTGAAAGTTAATTTCCTCCGAGTGTAGCCATAAGGTTACTGCTTAAATTTTATGGACACTGTTCGGGTCATGCTCCCTTCTAACTCGCCGTTGTCACGCCTGTGAACCACATAGTTCTCGCCAGCAGTTCGTATGCCGGGTCTGTCTCTGACGTCCGTCCTTTCGCACGTGACGTCATTGGCAACAACCCGCCCGGAGGACAGCGATTGGCTACGTTCCACAAACCGGTAATCACACGACACTCTGCCGGTCGAGACCACTCGAATGCGCCCTGCGAACCGGGGCCGACAGCGTCCGACAGTCGTCGCCACTGGGCCGGCGGGTCGACCTTGACCGCGACGACTCAAGGTCACACGGCCGCATTGTTCGGGACGTGTCCGCGTAGTGGACGCAGCTGTCCAAGGGGTTGGATATTATGTGCTCGGCGTGCGCGAACAGCTCCTCTGGCATCTGCTTGTGGCGTGACTGGAACATCAAGCCGAAACAGGTTATCGCCTTGGCTTGGGTTCACGTACACACACATCCCACACACACATTTGATATGACGATTGGTGATGGATTTGTTTAACTTTTCTGGCGCACAGACTTCATTCTTAAGACATTCCGGTATAAAGTACCAAATATGGCGCTTGTGAAGCTCGGCCCCGTGCTGCCCCGACGATATTTCGGGTTTAAGGTAATGGTGGATACATGTGATCTCGATGTTGTGAAGTCCTGATAAAGACCTGCCGATGAAAAGGATGGGAAATGCATAACGGGCTGGAGTTCTCACACCTTCTTAACTGTTGTTGAACGGTAACTCTTGCGTGAATCTTACAGAGAACAAGTTACGAAGTGCAAAGTGGATGGATGCCTAACAAACAGCAGTGCGCGCTACTTGTTAGTTACTTTTCATACGGATAGACCAAGTGGGAAACAGTGAGCCAAGAACTCTAACGAAACGTCATAATCATTAGCGAACATTAGGGCAGACGCAACATCTTTATTTTAGGTATACAACTAAGGTTTTAAGGTGGCTTTTATGGCGATTTTCTTGAAGGTTAGCAAACAATCATTGCGTAAAGTACATCAACACTCTCCCCGGGGTAAAAGGAGCGGTCGAGAGACGCCCGTTCCAGTCGCACCGAGCAATGCGAACCCGAGTGTTTCCAAGGAGATGTAAAACCTTGCGCGATTTACTGCGCAGCCGTCCGCTTTCTCCTCTTCTTTCATCAATTATTTTCTATCGCCTTCCAACCACCAATACATGTTGGCCACTGATGGCCGTAAATCGTTCTAAAGTGGCGTACACGCCTTTCCAACGAACTGCTAACATGAGTTACCCAGATAGGCACAAAAGACACGCAAATAATTGCTGCACATGGCTTCATCCCCTTGGATTTTATCTGACGTCTCAAATGCTTTGTTTTGAACAGCATCTGCAGCATTTAAATTATTAACTGTGTTCGGTGGCTTATCAACATACACGGCTACACTTGTACCAACATATATGCAAGCATTTACTCTGCTGTAAGATTCACACGAAAGGTATGAGAAGGTAAGCACCTCGTGGGAAAATCAGTAGCACATGCTGGGACCAAGACCATCTAGAACCGGGCCGACACCATGTGTGCGCTACACGACCAATGTCCTCGCACGGGCAGGCCGACCCCGCCAGAACGCCACACCGCCGGCAGGCCACCGGACCCCGCAATCTCGCGTCGCCAAGCCGTCGCATATGACAACATTTGTCGGACGTGTTTGTCCCAGATTTGATCTCGACACTGGCGGGGAAGGGTAAACATATGCCGAAGCGTGCTGGAAATGAGACCGCAGCCGGCGTCTCAGCTTGCCCTGGTTAATTTCCGTGCCCGGCTGGCAAGCAGCGCTCCCGGTAGGATGACCGGCCATTTGCCTTCCGGGCCTGGCCTCACCTTGTAATTGGCTCTCGACTGGTGCGTCGAGGACGGCCGGCTGTCCGAGTCGACGGGCACGAAGCAGCTTCGCGTCCCCGATCCTGTCCACAGAACCCCAGACTCGATGACGGGCACTGCCAGTACAGTTTTGATTAGAGTTCAACGGTTACGGCAGATAAGAACAGTGCGTTCGGCGCGAGCTGTCGGGAGCGCAGTTACAAGAAACTCAGAAGGGAGACAAGCGCCAAGAGAGAATCACGTTGGAGATGAGCGCCAGCAGACATCCGCCATGAGAACAACTTTAAGAGACATGGTATGAGAGATACGCGTCCACACGTCTCCCTGAGGAGCCACCAGTCCGGCGATAACCGTACAAAGATCCGTGTGATGGCGCGTACGCCAGGAGATAGGCGTCGATAGGCAAGCACCAGGAGATGGGCTACCGGAGATAATCGCCCGGAGATGACCCCCAGGAAGTAGCGATATGTACACCGTCTGAGGGGAGCTGCCAGAGGGCATACCAAGCTAGTGTCGTGCTGGCGAGCATGCCGAACGGGGTTGGTCGCGATCACGCGGCAACGGTCTCTTTCGGTTGAGGGAGACGGTTGTCCAGAGCGGCAATTTGCACTGGCATAACCATAGAATATCTGCGTCATACCTCTAATGAAATTGGGCTCAGCAAAGTTCATCTCAAAATGCTGCTATTTGAAGCTGTTCGACTAAATTGGCAACTTACGAGGGTCGCTTGTGCTACTTAATAAACGTGGCAAGTTGGGGGAACAGTTTGCCAGGATCAGGAAGTTAGCCAAGCTGATAAAGTATCTGACTTTAGGACGGCTCGATGTTCCAAATAGGAATCGGCATCCGCTAACTTGAGGATATCCGTCACTTCAACCTAGCCGCTCACTGCAGCGAGCCAAGACGGCCAAATCAGTTGGTGAGCAAAAACCGAAACTAAAGCTCTGCTCGAGATGATGACTTCAGGCACACAACGTGCTAACTGGTCCTATTATTGTCCTGTTAGGGTTCTTTAAATATATGTTTGAACCGCCACCCAGCAATAGGCAGAGGGAAAGATGGCCTCCACCTGACTCCAAGTGCGACTCATCCCTGACGACGGCCGGACACTGTCGTCGCTCGAGAGGTGTGCTCCAGAACAGGATGCGTTTGCCAGTTGACACTGCGCTACATGGAGAACGTTCGGACGGACACTGTCGTCGCTCGAGAGGTGTGCTCCAGAGCAGGACGCGCTTGCCAGTTGACTCTGCGCTACATGGAGAACGTTCGGGCGTTTAGTGCTCTTAAGCAATTGGACTAAGTTGTGTGGCACGTTCCCTGATTGATTGACGCATATCAGCCCTTTCCACGCCAGCGTTTATTTGGCTAATGCCTAATTTGGTTCCGCTGCATTCCACAGGCAACTGATACTAATCTGCACGAAAAAACATTACAAACAGGGGGAAAATAATGATTTTCCGTTAGAAGTATCAAAATAGCCGGCAAACTTTACTTTGAAGGCGTTTTTATTTCGCCACCATGTACCAACTCGTCAGGTTACGTTTGTATATTTGGTCCCATAGGGCCAAATCGTTAAGCACCGCAACCATGACAGACAAACAGGGAGCGCAACGCCTCCGGAGTTAAAAGTTACGGGTGGTCCGGATGACAGACGATGATCCTGTTCCAGCTTGTGGGATTTTTCCAAGCATTTGAGATTTGGTAACAAATAGAGCACCTGTCTAAAAATGCCCGTGTGAAAAGGGCAACGGTGACGATCCTCACTGAGCATTTAATTCGCAGATCAGAAAGTTATGCATGGTTGACTTAGAACGGTTTTGTGTAAAGACCAATTACTAACCACGTTTAGAAACTGACCAGGCATCTTCAGGGAATTTTCTAACAACAGTGCTACAAATGGTCACTACAGAATGCGTAGCTAAGTGGTTTTGTATGCTGCGAGTTCTTTGCCTCACTCTTTGCTTTTAAGCAGCCATTTTCACTGCACTCTACGCTTCAAAGTGTTTTACCAGGAAGTTTGCGACGCGACGTGATTGCCACAAGCTTGAGAAGCACCGGAAATGAAGAAAAGTATTGGTTTGTGAATGCCTGCCAATCCCAGGCCAAGTCACAAGTTGCGTCAATTTAAAACCTTTGTTGGCGGCACACAGTGCACGGCCAATTCAATTACATCGACGATTATACGTTTTTGATATCGTGGTGTGTGTAGAAGAAAGTTTGCGGAAATTTTGAGTGACCCGATCCAACAAAAGAAAAATAGCTGAAAGATGTAGGCTGTTTTAGGCCATGAATGAAACTGATCTGGGTTTTATTCGCCCTCTTCGTTCTGACCGCTAGCTGTTCGGTCTGGTTTTGTTCGTGCTAGCAAAGCAGCAAAGAAACGTGACGACATCAGCCTATGCACTTAATGCTGAACGACTTACTTGCATGGAACACAATATTAAGACAATAGTAATGGCCTTATTCCTCGGAAAAAACAGGAGAATGGAAGTATATATTCGTTGATATTTCGGCAGTATGTCTTTGACAAAACGAATAGCAGAATTGGTACATTTATTCTCTACTACCTCCATGGACCGGAGGATTCTTGCGGTGGACTCCGATCAGCGAGTTATGATCTGATGGCATACACTACTATCTTTACTATATTATCCTCTGCTATTCGTTTCAATGAAGGCATGCTGCCGAAATACAAACGCATCAATATCTCCACTCTCCTGACTTTTCTCCGAGGAATAAGGCTATTCAAACCGTCCTGTCTATGCATAAAATGTTCCTCACAAATGCACTCAATAGATTAAGGAAAACAATATTGGGCGATCCTAAACAACCAACTTCTGTTGCTTTTAAATGAGTCCCACAATTGATAAGCAATGTAAATAAATATGTGGTGTTTTCAACCATTCTGTTATATTTCTCTGTGTTACCGTCTCTGTGTTGTGTTGCTGGCAACCGATTGGTGCCAACTGTTCTTGAACACAAGGCAACGATACAGCTGGAAGGCAATTGATTCATTAAACGGCCATTGAGGTGTACAATATGCCAAAGAATATTGGATACCTGCCTCTTCCCAAGGGAAGCTATAACTGTTGATTGCACAGGCTCGTATATGTAATCGAATATCAGTTATCGGCCGCGATACGCACTAACAGTATATGATAGTCATTCAAAAAACGCTCCAGTGAGATCGCCCAGTCACGCATCATCCATAATCATAATCAATGAGCGACCCCACTTGGAAATAACGATGAAGGCTCCTCCCACGAAGGCCAAGAACGCCAACAGTGTCAGAAAGTTTACGACGCTGTTTTGTCGAATATTTTAAGCAAAATAGCGGTGGCCTCACGTATTTCGCTGACCGTGAAAACGGCTCGTAAGCAGAGCAATCGTCCATTTAAGCAGACATTCAGGGATGTGGGCGTCGGAAGGGCATAAGGTAAAAATTATACAGCTAGAAATTACACTGATACAGATTTACTCGCAGGGAGTTTTCTAATGTTTCAACCATCTAAAACGCGTCATGATGGTTCTGGATACAGCATATTCAGGGAGTCTTTTGCCTGTTTCATTTCTTAATCGATGTTATGTCTGAAAAACAGGTCATGCCATCCCTTTGACACCGGAGTTTTTGAGAGCCACTTCTTAACCCTTGAAAAGACGCCTATTGGGATGCTTCATCACACTCCAAAAGCTCTCATACAGGAGTCTTATGACGCCGTATAAGGGTCACAGCGGAGTTATGGAAAACCGGACACTGTTCAAAGTCAGGACACCCCAGACGACATTTAGAGAAGTGTCACTCCGAAACATCCTTCGAGGGTATGTTGCACATTTGGAGACATTGTGACGTGCATCAGACATGATGAAATAAGCTTATTCTTAACCATTGGGAAGTTTTGAAGTGAAAAAGACTGCTCTAGACAACACATTTTCCCTATTCAATAAATGTGCACTTCAAATTTGGAGGTAATTTCGTGAATCAAAACACTCATGTCCTATGCATCTGGAGGTCCTTTCGAAAACAGGCGGCCTTATTTTAGGATGGCAATAGACTTGGCTGGACAACCAGAACACCTCCACTTTTAAATGTTGTGATTATCGACATTGATGCACGTGGACATGATGCACGAAACAATCTGATAAGTGGGCACATGCCCTTAGAGCCCATTCCCCTTGAATATGACACCGCCCAGAAGGCCTCACTATGAACATGATGAACAGGACTGAATAAAATCACTGCAATATGCCGCTGTTGGCCTGCGCCACGGAACGTTTGTATTGCGTTGACGTGCTACCAAAATAGCTTTCGTTTCACTCATTTGATGTACGTCAGGTCCCCACAGAAATGACAGAACGGCGCCGAAATTGCACGTTGAGCCAAATATTGTTATTTACTCCTGCTTTGCCCCTATTCATGGCGTTCTTGAATATCTATCCGTCACTTAAAACAAATATTACATTTGCATACTCTGTTACGGCGCTTTTTTAGGGAGAACGTCTCGTATTTGACGATAATGGAGCCAGCATCATATACGATGAAGCAAGCTCACTTATAACCATTGGTATACTTTTAAGAAGACTGGTTTTTGACTGCTCCAGATAACATCATCTCTCTGTTTAGTAAATATGCTGCTCGATACGCCACTGTCTGATTACGTCACCATGCTTTGCACAACATTGATGCACAACATTGAGAACCAGTTTACCGCCGTTACATCCGGAATTCGTGCTCACCAAAGCCACAGTACGACGGGCGACTCAATAATTAGATTTCTCTTGGCCTGAACGCCGCATGGCCAATGGAATGGCAAGATTTAAATGGCGTTATTAAGACGTCATGGATGCTCGGGTGACCTTGAAATAGTCTGCCCATCTCCGCGGGCATGTGGCTAAAAACTGGAGGGGTTAACTGCATCAAATGCAATCTGTAAGCTGTGATCGCCGAGATGGCTATTTTATTTCTAATCCCCACACCAATGCGAAACATTGTAGTCGTGTTCCACATCTCTGGAACACTCTTCAAAGCAAGTGTTGCACATTTGCGTTCGGTTTTGAACTGGAATAGCCAACTTGAAGATCACTCGATGCAGTTCACAGCTCTGCCCTTTATAAGGCCTAAACCCCACTAGTTTCTGAGCTATACGCCCACGAAGACCTGCAGGCTATTACAAGATCACCCAGACATCCATGACGCAATAAAAAACGTTCTTCAAATTCCACCATCCCATTGGCCGCACGGCAATCAAGGCAAATACAAATGCGGTTGTCAATTCGCTCATTTCAGGCATTCGTGAGCACGATTTCCAGATGTGACGGCCGTCAATGAGCTCTCAAGCAATGCTTTGTCAAATACGATGGCGAAATTAAAGAATGATGTGTTGAGCATATCTACTAACAGACAAAATCATAACTGCTGATTCGATATCTTCAAAGATGGAGCATGTCCTTTGGCAGTCATTTAAACAATTTAGCCTGTGGGAAGTGTCGTGTTGGCCGTAATATACGATATCGCCACGGCATGGTTGGTACTTCAGAAACATGATGTAGTTTCAGAGAGATCACCGGAAGCGTTCCCGGGGGTCCTTCGACGCCGCGTGCAACGACGTCGTGCTAGAGGACGGAGATGCATCTCGGCTGTGCTTTTGCTTGGACGACCCATGGTATAGCTTAGTTGTGGAGGGTCCTGACGTGTGCGCTGTACGAGACGAGGAGGAGGCGTTCCTCCCGTTCGTTCTGTCCCAGTGCCTCTTCGCTCTGAGGTGCTCAGTAGAAATACAGTCGGTGGTGGTATTCAATTAACGGCCGTGTGTGGTATCCGGCAGTCTCCAAGAACCCCGAAGAGAGCCCACGAGCTGTTGAAAAGACTCGTTTAGTGGACAAAGCAATTGATATACCAGTTGGGTTTGCCCGCGCATAGAGCGCGGATAATAGACCTGGATCGACGCAGTCGCCGGCCCCCGGCACGACTCTGTGCATTTTTCTTGGGTGCTGACTGGTCGACCTAGCCCAGTCGTTATGTGTTCTGCTATAGTGCTTAGGGTCTCCTATGGTCTATACATGCTTGGTGATGTCGATCAGTCTGATTAGTTCCCAGATGAGCTCGCAGCTCGTATGGTCATGTGACCAGGTCGCTATAGTTTATTTTCGTCATGTTTCAGCGATTCTTTGTCGAGTCAGCCTGGTCAGCTTTGCCACGTTTTCATTTTTGTTTGACCTATGGTCGACGCAGTAGGTTTTCTGATGTCGGGCAGTTTGGTGGGGTCAGTGTGGCCGTCTGCTTCGTATGCGTGGCCATAATTTGAGGTGTCAAACCTGAACTGACTAGTACTTTAACTCTGGTCCATGTGTTTTTCTACTGGATGCTGGTCAGTTGGGTCAGTTTGTGACTGATCCCCAAGGCTTGAACGTTTGAAATGTCAAAATGCACCCTGACCCGTCCACCTTTTGTGTATATCTGATCATACCCCATTTACAGAGTGTTTTAATCTCAGGATATCATCAGCAGGTCAAGTGGACACCCACCATAGAGCCAAAGGACTCCTGTAGAGGAATATGACACCACTCCCCAAAACGACACCGTGCAGCGATGCGATTTGGCCGGCCCTGCTCTAGGGAATTTGGGGGCGTGATTACTCCGGTGTCAGAAGACTCCTTGATTACTCCTCAGAAGTGTATGTGAAACACAGCTTATTAAAAGACACCATGCAGGATGCGCTTTGGCTGCTCCTGCACATATATTTTTGGGCGCGTATTTTTCTCAATGTAAGCACCCATAACAAGAACAACACAAATAGCAACGCAATTCTTCGAGCATGAATGCAAGTCGATCCTGTCCGCTGTCATGGGTAAACATGTTTTTAAAGAATGCCTTAAACGTTCCAAGAGCTATCGGTTTCAAACAGTCGTCCGCGGAGTTCGTCACTATGCGTGCATCATGCGCAATGAGTGCTGGCGAAACAGCCTCGAGCAATAATCACCTGCTACGAGTCTGGGAAGGCAGGGGTACGAGATTCGATTCCCCACCGCGCCCGCTCTTCCTATCAGGGTGTGAGGCAGGCGACGCCATATAGCCTCAGCAGCTGAGTGCCTCGTAAAGCCCAATGATAACGGAACATTAATCACGTCCTAAAAGGAATGTGGGGCAATCTTTTACCCGCTCCATGTCGACTACTGTGATCGACCCGAAGGAGTTTTCAGACCTGTCAGCGTGTGAATGCTCTGATCTTCCTCTGACAAACTTGACTTCCCACCTCCCAACTGACCTGACTTAGCTTGACCTGTCGTCTGACCTGCCCTGTCGTCTGACCTGATCCAAAGACGGTCTGACCTGATACTGCCCGCCAGACTGACCTGAGGGCAGCAGGTCGGGGCTGCGCTGGTCTCGACGCGCCTCGCCGTTGACCCTCAGTGGCACGGCCTCGGCCGTCTTGAGCCTGTGTGGCGCGGCGGCCGGCGCCCGCGCCCGCAGAGAGACGATCACGCCGCCGGCCAGCAGCAGCAGCACCAGCACCACCCCGCCCAGCACGGCCGCCACAGGCCCCGCCGACGCTGACGTGCTGTACGCTGCCGGCACGGTCAGCGTGTGGTCAGCGTGTGGTCAGTGTGCGGTCAGCGTGTGATCGGTGTGCGGTCATTGTGCGGTCAGCGTGTGATAAGTGTGTGGTCAGTGTGCGGTCAGCGTGTGATCGGTGTGCGGTCAGTATGCGGTCAGTGTGTAATAAGCATGCGATAAGTGTGCGTCCAGTGTGTGATAAGCGTGTGGTCAGTGTGCGGTCAGCGTGTGATCAGCGTGTGGTCAGCGTGTGATCGGTGTGCGGTCATTGTGCGGTCAGCGTGTGATAAGCGTGTGGTCAGTGCGCGGTCAGCGTGTGATCGGTGTGCGGTCATTGTGCGGTCAGTGTGTGATAGATGCGATAAGTGTGCGTCATGTGTGATAGGCGTGCTGTCATTGTGCGGTCGTGTGTGAATAAGCGTGTGATCAGCGTTGGTCAGGTGAGGGTGCAACATTTTTCCGGGTTTGCGTCAGTATCGGTCAGTTTTTTGTGTAATAAGCATGGATCGTGTGCGTCCAGTGGGTGGTAAGCGTGCGATCGGTGTATGCGATTAGTTTGTGGCCAGTGTGCTGTCAGCATGCGGTTCAATGCACGGCCAGTGTGTTGGTAAGCGTGTGATCCGTGTGCGGTCAGTATACGGTCAATGTGCGGTCTGCGTGCGGTCAGCCCAACGGCCGCGCGGGTGCGACGGCGGCAGCCCGCACGCCACTCCGGCAGTGACGTCAGCTTGATAAAAGGTAATGAAGTGCCTGCATGGCCTCGCGGCGCGCTCGTGGCAGATGGAGAGGAAAATTGAAACGATCCATCATCGTACGTGAGGTGGGAGAGGGATCAGGTCAAAATAGGGGGGAAGTTGGACGCGCACTGATACACTGGCATCTGGAGTGCTGGTGAAATGGGACAGAAACTACGCCAGCCAGCGCGAGCACTCAGTGTGGGATTCATCTACCTTGCCCGATCGATGAAAGCGTCGATTTTGATTTAAATAGCACTGAACGGAAATGATCACTTCAAGAGCCTGCGGGATGGAGGGCAGACAAAACCATACCCAGAAGTTGTTACTTCGAACGGGAGCCGCTGACTTTGGTGATAAAACGACACTTCGAAGCGAGCCTTTTAGTGAGTGGATTTCGTTGGGAGAATGCAGGGACTGGCTTGCATGAAAGGACACGTTTCTGACGAAAGGAAAGTGTAAATCAGAAGCTCAGAGGCGCGCTGTTCCTGCCACGACCGATATTTTTCAGATCAGGGCTCTACATCGGGTGTGTTTGGCATTTCTTCAAAACATTCGGCTGAATGCACAGTATTTGGGGTTATAGGCTCCGGGCCTAGCAACGTTGCGCCTCTATTGAATTATTATAACTCAGAAGAAAGGTTGCATCAATGTTGCTGAAAATTTACATGCGCCCACAAGAAGCGGAAAAGTTGTCAGCTTCCCACTCGACGGCCATCTTGTGAAATTGCAACATCGATGACCGTGGCAGTACAATGTGTATTTCTAAGTTCAACGCAGATTGAAAGACAATGGAAAAGGTCATTACGCAACGTGATTCAAACTCGTGATCTCGGAGTTTCGATTGGGTCCTGTCTCGAGAAGGCACTCACCAATACGGTCGGGCATCAGCTCCACGGTTCCGACACGCAGCAGCATGACCTTTCCGTGACCTTTGGCACTGGACGCATACACCTTGAGTGTAAAATTGGCGCCGGGGTTCAGACCACGGACGTGAAATATCGGCTGCTCGTGGGTCAGGGAACGCAAGAGCTGAAATCAGAACGCCGAATCAGATAGGAATCAGAACGCAACAGCATAGGTTGAACTAGACAACAGGGAAGACTCTGCTTTGCTTACATGCTAGTTTTGCAGTGCTAACTATATTCAACATCAAATCGAGTTGAAAGTGTACCCATTAACTCAAACAAGTGGTGACCTTTTCATATTCATGTCCATAGTTTCCCTAAGCGTTCCTTGGAACTAAATTACCGAACATTACAAGCATTTAGGCGGTTCGGAAGGAAATGCAGTCAGCGATTGCCTCTATTTATTTGTCGCCGCCCACATTACGGCATATTTTGCTGGAATTTCCAATAACCTCCGGTCGTTTGGCCCACGTCTGAGAGGTCCCATGCCGACCGTTGCAACGGTCGGGACGACACTCACGTTTTGGGTTTGGAGGTCCCTCAGCTCGAGCACGAACGTCTGCGGCAGTCCGCCGTCGCGGCCCGGCCGACAGCGCACCACGAAGGAGGTGACCGTGCGGTTGCTGACGCTGCATTCGCTCGGCGGCTCGGGCAGGCCTGCCAAACGGGCCGGCAGTTGGAAAACATTGGCCGCCTGTGGCCAGTTGGAGGACTCTTCTGGAAAACTACTGGGAACACATAAAGATGAACGGAGATGAATACATGATCGGGGAGATTAGTTTTTGGAAAGAGAGTGGTTTGAAGGTGACTGTTCAGAGCATCGGGCAGGAATATGGTCAAGGTCAAGCCTCTGTCGCTCTTTGAGCAACGTCGTCTCTATTGCTATACGCTCGCTCCCTTCTTTTGGTGTTTGGGAAACAACAGCTGAACTTTATCAGATCGCAGTAACGACATGTGGAAATAATGCGGTAATCACCAGTGGATATGCTAGGTCAGTGCGGGTTTCGTGGACCTTGTTATATCACGTGAAAAGGAGATAATGCCGTCAGGCCAGTACAGGTTTCGGAGGCACTATATACAGTGAAAAAGAGATAATAGCGCTTCGACGCTTATTGACGTGGTATTTCCATCAATGTCTGGCCATGATTGTTTAGACGAACATCCCAGTGAACCATCTATCGTATGACACTGGAGGACGATTGGATCCGTCTTCCGTTGTGAATGCGTTTGTTTATGTTACCGCGTCCGCAGCTGATGCGAACACATCACAGGCTTTTGATCCACATCGCACGAATCAAATCAACGCGAACCATAATTCTCTTTCTCTCTCCCCCTCTCTCTCTCTCTCATCATCTCTCCTCTCTCTCGCTCTCTCTTCTCTCTCTCTCCTCTCATCTCTCTCTCTATCTCTCTCTCTCTCGTCTGCTCTCTCTCTCTCTCTCTTATCTCTCTTCTCTCTCTCGTCTCGTCTCTCTCATCGCTTCTCTCTCTCTCTCTCTCTCTCTCTCTCTCTCTCTCTGTTGAATGTGCTGTTGAGTGTGCTGAACTAAAATGTCCATCTTAAAGATCATTCGGTGCAGTTCACAGCCCTGCCGTACTTAAAACCTAAACCCTAATGAACCTAAAAACCTAAAACCTAAACACCTAAAACCTAAAAACCTAAAAAAACCTAGTTAAAAAACCTGAATTGCAGAGCTACAAGCCTGCAAGGACGCGGACACTTTTTGAGCGGACTATTTCAAAGCCACCCAGGTGTTCATGACGCCTTAATAACGTCATTCAAATCCTGACATTCCATTGGATGTGCGGCAATAGAATTGCAGAGTTGTTCGTATATGGCGTTCGTGAGTACGACTTCCAGATATTATAGCGTCACTTGGCTCTCAATCCGCACCGTGCAGGGTACGATGAGGTAATCAAACAATGGCGTATTAAGAAGCATTTTTATTAAACAGAGAAATTAAGCAGTCCTAAGTAGTCTTTTCTACGTACAATTACACCAATAGTTATGAGTGAGCTTTTCCATCACATATGATACTTGCTTCAGTATTACGCAAGTTGTTCAATGCATTAGCGAGGAACATTATTCACATAGATGAGACAGTAGTATTATCCTCATTCCTCGGATACAAACCAGGAGAACGGAGATATAGTTGGGTTGATATTTTGGCAACGTGCTTTTATCGAAACAGTAGCAGAAGCTTCTGCAACATGCCTTTATCATGCCACAACATGCCAACCAACAGAAGCAACACGCCTTTATCGAAACAATAGCAGAAGCTCCTGCTATTGTTTCGATAAAGGCACGCTGCCGAAATATCAACCCAACTATATCTCCATTCTCCTGTTTTTTTTTCCGAGAATGAGGCTAATACTAGTGTATTATCTTGCTGCAGTATCTTCAAATATGAAACCCTCCATTTAAATGCCTTGTCCACGACATGTCATGGTTCAGAGTCCCCAGGGGAGGCAATTTTTTTAAACTGATTCTTGCACACGAAACGCATGGTCGCAGCATCGTCAACCAGAGGACGGGCAATTGATATAAAAGGGTATGTCAGCACGCATGTTCCCGGTAACGCTGTTGTCAGTGTTCAGCCTGGGGTGAAAGCACTGCCTAAAGTTGCCGTGACACACTACCAGTAGCCATGTGAAGCCGGTAATGTGTGTCGGGCCATCTCCCAGTGTCACGTGAAGCAGACGACAGACATGCTTGTACGCGACGGTCACACGTGGCACAGGCAGTGTGATGGCCGTTAGCTGGCGCTATCACGTGGGATGCACAGTGTGCATCATCTCAAGTGATGGCCTCATGTGGAACGGAGGACGCGCGCGATCTGACCTGCCGGCCTTTTGTGGAAAACTCAGAGTGTATGATCTCACCTGCCGACCTCGTGTGGAAGGGGCAGCGGTAAGCCCTCACCTGCCGGCCTCATGTGGAAGAGGCAGCGGTAAGCCCTCACCTGCCGGCCTCATGTGGAAGAGGCAGCGGTAAGCACTCACCTGCCGGCCTCATGTGGAAGTGACAACAGTAAGCCCTAACCTGCCGGACCCATTTGGAAGCGACAGCGGTACAACCTCTCTTGCCGGCCTCATGTGGAAGTGACAGCGGTGCAACCTCACCTGCCGGCATCATGTGGAAGAGGCAAGGCTGCCGCTGGAGACCGACAGCGTTGCTGCCCCAGCAGCGGATCTCTGCCGGTTCGTCGTCATCTAGCCGATGCTGTACGGTACTGACCGCTCCAGCGGTGGTGAACCTGAGTACGAGGCCGGCCGTGTGTCAGCAGTGACCCGCCAAACTGAGCATGGATATTACAGGTGCAAATTTATAAGGTGGCGAGACAATTGGCGAAGTGGGATCGCGGACGCAACGGCCAGGTATATCAAGGCGGTTATACGTGCTCACGCCGAGAACCTGCACGTCTACTGAGTGGCAAAGGTCATGTCGTGTCGACTCAGGTGGCGACGGTTAGTGGTCTACCAAGCGCACCAGCGAACTGTCTGACATGAGGCCAGGTGCGTCGAGAATGAGGCAGTGCGGCAGGAGCTCACTCAGTTCGGTGGGAAAAAGGCTGCGGAGTGAGTCTAAGGGTCGCAGAAGTAATAACGTTGCGTTCATCTGATAAACACGCCATGACAGAGCTGGATGAACGTAATTTGTTGCGCTCAGTGCGCTTGTGCCCGCGTCGTTGGCTTGATAGCTATCTCAGAAATCAATTTTCTTCAAGGCTGGCAAAGGAATCACTGCCGGTGCAGCCCAGGCATCAGCCTATTCCGAACAGCAAACAGCGCCTCCATGAACCACCGGCCGTCCGGACCGACGCCTTTCAAAACCGCACGCCAGTGCGAGCCACGACAACGCTACCAACATTGCGACAAACACCACGCCAGCACGCCACCACCGAGACCGTCCGGTCCGGCGAGACTCCCCCTCCCCTTCCCCCATCACTGACCGAGAGAGCGGCTCGCGCTGGTATGCGCTGGCCGAGCTGTTCACGTCCCACTTGAAGCGCACCGGGCCGGGCTCGGCCAGCAGCTGGCACCGAAGCTGGACGGCTCGGCCCGGCACGAAGTACACCACGCGCTGCGCCGTCTGGCAGCGCGGCAGGTCTGACGGCGGACGGGCGGTGCGGTCAGCGCCGGGCCCGGCTCTGGTCCGGCTGGGGCGGCCGCCTGCCGCTGCCAGCGATTTAACGGCAGTGGGTGTAGTGACAGGTCACAGGCGGGGAGTGATGAGCGATGAGTGTACTGTGTATTCAGCGTGGGAAGGGTAACAGCCAAATAATTCTGCAGAAGGACCGATGACCTGTTTTCTAGGCAGCTTTGGTTTTATCCCCAGTTCCTTATCTATTTTCCTATCTCTCTCCAGCTCTTTACTCTCTGTCTTCTCATCTGCTTCAAAGCCTTCTCTGTCTTGCTCTGGCACTCGCTCTCGCTCTCGCTCTCGCCCCCCCCCCCCCTCCCCGTCCCTCTCCCGTGGTCCTTGCGTTTAGCTCGACGCGTGAAGATCTCCTGAACTATTCCCACGGGTAGCTGTATTTACCTCGGTGGCTGGCTGGTCTGACATCGTGTCCCGAACAACACGCCGCGACGCTAACGCCGGGCCGGGCGGACGTGCCAAGAGGCGGAAGTTGCTGTACGACTGGCGATACAGCGCCGTTTAGCCTCAACAAGGCGATGTGGTTCGTTATCGAGCAGCGGCGGGAAGTCGACATGATGGTGACTACAGCTCATCGACTGGCGCCGCTCGTGAGCAGGAGGGTTGGCAGCAGCTCGACCGCCCCCCGCCCCGGGGAAATCATCGGCTGGTGTCAGATCGCAGGCTTGAAATGGCTCCCGCAATAAGGCTGTCGGAAGATCGCACAATACTGGCGATCCAACCGACGTCTCGAAATCTAGATGGAGTTTCGCAAAATATACTATTTGGGCGCATGCACCAGCGGGCAAACAGGGTCAATACACAACAGAAGACGAGTTTCTTATGTTAGTCAGTGCGCACAACACAGCCAGTGATCATCGGCTGCCGCCTTCTGCGCGCGAGGCAAACCAAGCCCACGGCGACGGGCCGGTGACTGACGTGACGTCACCGACTCGGGCCACTCCCACAGACCTATGAGCCGGAAATGATCCCGACACACAGCCCCCGAGACGGCCGTAATGGACGGTGAGCTGCGCCGCCCAGCCACTGGCGGCCTCGCCATTACGCGCTCACCTCGTGTCATGCATACCGATTGGCTGTGCGATTGCCGGTCCGGTGCGTGCGAGCGCACGTGGGGCGCGCGACGCGGGGCCTGGCCGAGCCGCAAATGCTCACCACTCAGCGCGCTGATGTACATGCAAATGGCACGCGGAACGGGTCTGGGATTCGGGCCGCGTACAGCGGAGAGTGGGACGCCCCACCCGACTGCGCTTGCCGCGGGATGGGCGACCATTGGCGGCAGTAATGGGACATGACCATAAGTGAGGGCCAACCTGCCATGGGCGGGTACAAAGCGGATGACCCAGCTGTGGGCTGACTGCACAAACGGCCGCCAGCTGCGGCCGCCGGCGTTGGCGCCGGCAGGCTTCCCAGCCGTCCGTGAGTGCCGAATGTGTTGTCATGGCAGCGTGGTGCCGTACACGAGCCGGTGCCATCACGAACGCGCGACATCACGAATTCCCACATGCGTGTCTCAAAGATGTGGTGTCGTGGACGTTGTCATGCGGAGGCAACTTGACCGAGATGAATTCACATTTCACAGCACATCACAAACGCTTGGCGTCCCGCAGGACGCAGGACATGATATTTCGGCTGACGCGTGGCCGCGGACGTCAACAGCGTCACTCACACATCACGTGCAGCACCACCGGCAGACTCTGGTTGTGACCCTCGACGTTGGTGGCACCACAGGTGTACTGGCCGGCCTGGCTGTGCGACACGTTCGGCAGCACCAGGCTTCGGTCGATGATCATGATCCCGGCCTTCTTGTCGTTAGTCAGCTGCCGACCCTGCCGACACGAAGGGTCGAGCTCAAACTGGAGCCAACAGGCAGGGAAAGCCGAGCAGATCCGGATGAATAAAACGCTTCACACTAGCCGCGTGGGTAGGTTGGGCGCCATTTCATCACCCACGCACCTGGAGTTGGGCCATGAGCAAGTCATGACCTCGAGTGGCTGTCAAGCAGTGGAAATCGCAAACTTCGCAAGTACGAAGTTAGTCAGCGACCTGAACAGCACATTCAAATCCGGCTCCGATGTCGAACTTCATCTTAATTTCATATTACGGCATTGAGTTTAAAGTTTCCAACCGCAGACCAGTCAGCACCTTTTCAAAGCCGTTTCCAACCGCAGCGCCCCATCCAAAACTTGCACACACACCCTCCCTCCCCCCACCCCACCCGCTCGCAGTCGAACCTCCTCCTTTCCAACAACCCATCCCCTAGCCTCTCTCCTGCAACGACAGCCGTGGGGCTCGGACACCTCAGGGAGATGGCGGCCCCCTCGCTGCGCCACTCGGCAGTCCAGTGCGGCGCTGGCCGCCGCTGCGGCGGGCTCCCCCGGCCGTGCCGCGCCGCTCCGGGGCCCTTGACCGAGGCCGGATGCCAGGGGCGCACTGGCCGTGGCGCTGCCGGTTCCCGGGCGGGGCTATCGGGGCCGTAATGGATGATGGAGCGGTGGGACGCGCCTGCCGCGCGCCGAGGCAGAGCGGCCGCGCTGCCGCCGCCGCTCGGGATAGCGTGACGTCTCTAGTGGTCTGTCCGGTCGGGTGGGAAAATAACTGAAAAATCTTCGAGCGGTTGAGACTGGACTGTTGATCCGACGCAAAATGTCGTATCCACGTGTTCGTAGAGTTGGTATCGCAGAGGCAAGTCGTCAAATTTGAGTCTCACAACACATGGCAGGTGGGGACGACCCGAACGGGGCTTCATTGGTTAGGGCAGTCGTCGCTAAATGTTTGCTAAATGCGACACAAATATTTGTACTATATACGCCAACACGTGTTATTTTTGTACAGCGGTCAATGCAAATGCTCCTCCTCCGACGCCGAACCACACTGCCGGCTGCTGTGCTCGAAAGTGGCAGGTCAGAAGTCAGGTCATTGGCAGGATAGGCGGTGCCGACAGCTCAGGGCACCGCGGGACGGGTGGCTGCGTGCCAGCCGCCGCCGCCGCCGCCGCCGCCGCCCAGCCGCCGGCGCCCCGCCGCGACGCTGGAGGCCGTCCGAGACCAAAGCGGCACCATCGGGCCGCCGACGGCCGCCACCGGGCCGTGCCGTGCTTACGGCCGCACTCCATCACACAAGGCGTCGACCCAGTGTAAAACCAGCCGGACGACGAGAGAGGCGCAGGACCGACCGCCGCGGCCGGGCCCAGACAGCCAGCGGCGACGCGTCGCAGGCGGGCGGTGTGCAACTGCCGCCGAGTCAGGCACCTCGCCGCATGACCTTCGTCCCCGGCGTTAACAGGCGGACTGGGCATTTGTGATTGTTTTTAAAGACCGTAGGGGTAATGTTGGCGACCAACTAACGACCAAAGGCACAAAGCATCAACCAACGTGATTAAGGCTCAACGAAGTAGACGTGTTTCCCATTGCACGTAACAGACGTTCATTTCCATGCAACGGCCACATGTGTTATGTTAAATCAGCGATTCTCTCATTTCGCCCTTCCACGTGGTAGAGCCCGCGTTTCCATGTTCTGGATAAAATCTGCGGCAGCACACAGTAGCGCAAGTAGGGGGCTACACGGGGCACGTGCCCCTCCTCCCCCATTAGGTTCCAAGAGGCCCTTCGGACCACTCAGAACCTACGATTAAAGGCCCGAAAGGCCGGCCGGAGGTCCCATTCAGGGACCCTGACCCGTAAGGCCGGGAATTCCAACGCCAGCTAGAGAGCCCTGCGTGCTGATCAGGGGCCCACTGAGTCGACAAGGGTCTACACTTTGATGAGACGCCACCGTAATGCACAGTGGACTCCGTGGCAGAATGGCCTGAGAGCCCATTTTCCAAGCAGGGACAACCAGGAGCCAGCGATTTTCATTGTTCGGGTCCCACAGCGTCTAACAGGGGTCCTGTGTTGTCAAGGGGCCCCAAGTCGGCCAGAGGCAGTGTTCGAGGAGGCCCGAAAAGCCTGGAGGGCCCACCGAGCTCGACGATCTAGGGCACGATTGGAGGGTCTAAGGGCATAAAGTGCTTGTCAAGACCTTGTTCAGGGGCCCCGGCCTGCAGAGACGGACCCTCATATAACGCTCAGAGGGCCACGCTCACGGCTTAGTAATAGCCACAGGGCCGACGCTGCGAGGCCTAAGGAGACTACAACGTCTGGCGTCGACGTTTTCGTTGCCAAGATATGCGAGCGCACACGGTTAAACTACGATATATAATTTGTACCACTAATCGATTCTGACTGAATGCTGAATATATTAAGACAAACGAGGCTTGGCCATGTTGATATAAATTGTTGACCCATTTTGATCTTCAGTCTACATTCGCGGAATCCTTGCTAGCTCTGTAGAACCAAGATAAAAATTCTGACAAGATTTCTGAGCTCTCACGATTTCAAAGGAGTTCTCTGGACTATTGTAAAATGAAGAGCGCCGGTGATTTATTTCCTGCGGTCATTCAAGGCATAAGAAAAGTGTGTATGCATTGTATGTATGTATCTCATGTGTATGCATTCTCATACATACACATGAGAAAAGTATGCCCTCAATAACAAATGAGCAATACCCGTTGGTTTTTTGGGGGGCCTTTACCCATCAGGGCGTTCTTTGTCACCTCTGTGCCCCCTCTCATTGCCAAGGCTCTGGCCGCGCCCTTGTCAGCACACACTGACGGTAACGTCCGGGTTAGTGGAACGGGCGCCAAAGCGCCGCGCTCGGCTCGGCCCGCAGTGCAGCCATGTCGTGCGGCACAGCAGACACACTCGGTCCGACCTGCCGTACAGCAGGGCGGTGCGGCACAACATAGCATCCATCTTTTCTGCCCGAAGCGATGATGCCACATCCACCTGATCAAGCTCACCTCGCCGCTCAGCGAGCCGTTCGCAGTGCATCTCAACAGCCACTGCATCAACATACCAGACACCTGGCGCAATTGCCTCCCCTCTTTCCGTGGATGCTTTACGTCTGGTCCTGACAGCCGATGGCTGATTTATGGTCCCACGGGCTTGCTCTGTGCAATAACGCACGGAAATATCGGCGGCCGCGGTCATTTGGCGCCCTGCAGACCACCGCATTGCACAAGACCCATTGTCCGTGACGATGCCGTGCGTTAATGGCCGTCCGTATTGACCGGTCCGTTGCCCGCAGGCTGTAATGCAGAAGTCGGCGCGGGATCGGCTGTCCAGTCGCTGTGGCGGCTGACTAGTGTTACCTGACCTTATGGGAGTCCCCTCAGTGTCCGGCTCTTGCGGGGTCCTCAGGCTGGCTCTTGTATCGCCGTTGTCATGGTAAGCTTGTTATGACTGACACTGGCGCACACGAGTGTCGTGTTTGCCTGCGCATCTATCAAAAGCAGGAACGACACGACGTTTTTCCGCTGATAGTTTTCGCCAGTACAACTGCGTGGCTTTACCTTGTAAGTGTATACGGCAGTCATGCCGGCCTAAAACCAATTAAAAGGATTTTCCATGTCATACCACTAGCACTTGCTCCCAAAAACTAGTGGCTCCTATTTCACCACAATTGTTCGCAAAGCCTCCATGTTTTGTAGTCCTGTCATTGGGATCTGCTTTCTCACATGATGTCAGGAGTAATTTAAGTACCACAGGCTGGTACCTCCTGACACAGGCTGGTATCTCCTCACAGGCTGATACGTCCTGACACAGGCTGGTACCTCCTCCTCCTGGTATCTCCTGACATAGCCTGTGACCTCCTGACATAGGCTGGTGCCTCCTGACACAGGCTTTGACACAGGCTAACCTGACAGGCTTGACACCTGACACAGGTTCCCTTTGACTCCTGGCATTATGAGCAAAGGCTACCCAGAATTTTAAAACTTCCATTTAGGGGTTCAGTTTCCTATACAACGGGTCGCCAACCCTCCCCACACCTGGGCTCCATGCCCCCCCCCCCCCCCCCCCGCCCCTTCCCAACTTAGAAGAGAGTGGCAAAGTCCGGGGAAAACCCGTCAGTTGCGGTATTCTTAGGGTGGGTTGCGTCCCCTACAACGCATTTAGCAGAACAAAGAACCAGCTTTTATCGTTTCGTTCACTATGATCATCGCAGCCATCCCCCACATGCACGCAGTGATACCACACCATCCCTCTGTTTGCTCACCTGATAATACCAGATCAACCCTCTGTTTGCTCACCTGATGATACCAGATTGACCCTCTGCTTGCTCACCTGATGATACCAGATTGACTCTCTGTTTGCTCATCTGATGATACCAGATCAACCCTCTGTTTGCTCACCTGATGATACCAGGCCAGGTTGGTGATGGGCGGGTTGGCCAGCACCTGGCAGTCGAAATACACGTCGTTTCCTTCCTTGATCTCGCTGGGCACCAGCGTCTTGCCGATGCGCAGGACGACCTGCGGCGGATCTGCCGCAGAGAGGCGCTTCGTCAGCCCCCTACGTCCCCCTGTTGTCCGGTGCGCCAGATTGACCCAGTTCCAATCCCGCGTCGACCCATCCACACACTACTCACGCATCCAGTGCTCCTGTACACATCACCTAACGGAAGCCAGCATGCGAAGGCCATTTGCAAATTGCATTGTGTTGCAGCCGGTCATCGCGTGCGGTTTGTTTTGGTGAGGACGGCCTCGCTCACGACGTGGTGAAAAGAAATGTCCGACCGGCGTGTCTGCTGCACTACAGCTCCATTTCCTAGCCTAACACAGCGACGAGGCTTTCAGGAGGCCGTGTGGAGGTCGCCATAGTTAGCGATCAGGCATGGCGCAATGCCTGCACCCGGCGAAATACACCGAACTTTTTCTGCTTGAGGATGGTGTCCACGATCCGTCCTCACTTTGGCTTGCGTCGCCTACAGCTGCAATGCTCCGCGGGGTTCGGCGTACATTCGCTTTACATTCTACGGAATAGGTATCATGGTTGGATGTGGCGCTTGGATGGTGAAGATCCCACCAGAAGCGGTCATGCGTGGTGGTGGTAGTGATGGTGGTGATGGTGGCTGTGGTGGTGGTGGTGGTGGTGGTGGTTGTGTTGGTGGGAGTGGTTGTGGGGGGAGGGTGTTGGTGGTAGTGGGGATGGTTGTGATGGTTGTGGTGGTTGTGGTGGTTGTGGTGGTGGATGGGGATGGTTAAGATGATTATGGCCGTTGTGGTGGCGGTGTTGGTGACACTGGTTGTGGTGGTGCTCGTCGTCGTCATCGTTGCCAGTGGCTGGTGATGTTGGTGATGCCGGTGGTGGTGATGATTGCGAGCGGCTGTCGGCGATGCTCCCCGAAGCACTGGCGTGCTCGCTCTGTCAGCGATGCTGTCGGTGGCGGCTGGAGGCGGTGGTTGGCTGGCGCTGCTACAGCTCGAAGCTACGCCGACGACGCTCAATCCATACAGGAACACATCAACCGCGCACGGCGGCCGGCTGCCAGCACAATTAATTAAGACGAATGATAGCGCGACTGCGGCTTGCCGTACACCGCGCCAATGGCATTATGCGCCCCATAGGTACGTCTGTGTCTGTACAACCGGAATGCTTGGTTTGAATAGTCATGACTGCTAAGCGCTGGTTACCAATAGGATACCATCGGGCGACAGTTCAATGTTTGCATGAAAACGCAGGCAACATGGGGATCTAAATGTATTAAAAGACTATTACACAAGCGCTGACCCACATCCTGGGTGGATGTCACGCACTGCAAGTAGCAACATAGCGCACGATAACGGCTCTTTGCAGTCATTTTTCAACTCAACTACACATGCTCAAAACCCTGAGACTGTCCTTCCAGCGCAAAGGTTCTTTGAAAGCAATTTAAAGTAAATAGCATCATCTAAGCTGGACCTATTTCGGCAACAAAGAGGCAGCACTTTTGGGCGTACTGCTATTTTAAAAGCACAAACAGCTTGTTTGGCTCATGCGTTACGGATCGCTTCGGGCACAGATTACGAACGGCTGGCTCGAACCTTTCGGCACCTGGACAGCTTCTGAACGTGCACATTGTGACACATTCATATAGCATTTCCGTAAGGTGAAAGGCACGAGGGCGCGGTGTATAAAAGTCAATGCACGGAGGACGCACTACACAACACAGGCGAAAAGCGTAAATTGAAGGGAATGGAGTTACTATACTACCAACAGCACACTAGGAAGACAGGCAGGGGGTTTCACAGACAGGCAACACGATGTTTTCCCATCGGCCCCATAGTAGAGAAAGTACAGAATCTGGAAAACAAATTTTAAGAGATACTTTTGAGTTTTTTGCGTAACTGTCGGGTTATCACTAAAACTAATAAAAGAAACATTGCTTGACAAAATAATTGTGCGATACGGACTGTGCTAGAGTTCCACGCTGAGTGGCTTTAGTTTTTCAGGGCAATACCATTAGCGAGACTATGGACGCTCTCGAAAAATCTGTCCGAAGAACAATGAGTGCCATTTCTTTGCAGAAGGAATTTAAGAGACTACGGCAGGCGTATATTGCCCATGCCGCTACTATAGCACAAGAGAGCTTAATGAACCGCTTGTTCACGAGGGCACTCATGAGGACGGTACCTCGGACTGGCATCATGAGCGCCCACGGAAGGGATGACAGACGTGGGCACATCCTCGGCCGCCACGCAGGGCAGAGAGAGGACACATCCACAGCCGTCACGCAAAGAAGAGAGGGCACATCCACAGCCGTCACGCAGAGAAGAGAGGGCACATCCACAGCCGTCACGCAAAGAAGAGAGGGCACATCCTCAGCCGTCACACAGGACAGAGAGAGGGGCATATCCACAGCCGTCACGCAAACAAATGAGGGCACATCCACAGCCGTCACGCAGAGAAGAGAGGGCACATCCACAGCCGTCACACAGGACAGAGAGAGGGCACATCATCAGCAGTCACGCAGAGAAGAGAGGGCACATCCACAGCCGTCACACAGGACAGAGAGAGGGCACATCCACAGCCGTCACGCAGAGAAGAGAGCTCACATCCACAGCCGTCACGCAGAGAAGAAAGGGCATATCCTCAGCCGTCACGCAGAGAAGAGAGCTCACATCCACAGCCGTTACGCAAAGAAGAGAGGGCACATCCTCAGCCGTCACACAGGACAGAGAGAGGGCACATCAGCAGCAGTCACGCAGAGAAGAGAGGGCACATCCACAGCCGTAAACTAGATAAGAGAAACGGCGGAAGTGTCTTCATTCGGCAGCTTGAAAATGTGGGTTAGCAAGCAAGACATTTATGGCAAACGTTAGTTTGTTTCCTATTTCCGTCGAACTCCAGTCCCTCCTTGTGACTCCCGTCATCACGGGGGAGATTCTTCCAGCTTGGGGACCCGTGGTCTGTGACCAAACCAATATTTTGCTCCAGTTCTTGGCGTGGAATCGCACTGACTGGTGGCATTACGGATCCATCTCGCGGTCGGATCCCTGCCGCCTTCGTCTGGCGGTTTATCAATACGAGCCGGATCGACAGCGTCAAAATAAAGCCGGAAATAGATCCAGTTTGAAGCAACTTTGCAAACTATCACGTGTCAGTCTTCTTCAGACTGACTCCATTTCCTGTTTGTCGACGTCGTGGCCAGGTATGTCTTCTCCGTGGCTCATGTTTCGACTAAATAATGTCCAAACCGTACACTATAATGCTGACGAAGGTATACGCATAACATCGCTGACAAGTGCAGAAGCCTGAGAAGTCATCAAATCCATGGCATATTAGCAATACACTTCCAGGCCTACAGCTGCGGCCCACCTGAGGCCCGTTTTGGTGCATATCGCCACGTAAGTGCTAGCTTCCCCGTTTCGCCCGGAAATCAGTGCAGTCTGCACTGATGTAATCTTTATGATATATCTATATATCACCGATTATATCTCCACACTGAAGCCTTTGCGCACACCAAATGATCGTTTAGTGAAGACCCTATTATTCACGCGGTCAGGGCCAGAAGAATATGTGCCCAGGCATAATAATACCCAGTGTGACATCATACTGTGATGATGGGGCTTGACGAGTGGCACACGAGGATAAAGCCTTCGTTATGTCCGCTCGCTGTCTCCTTTCGTCGTCATTGGGGCTTTACGACGCACTGAGCTGCTGAGGCTGCATGGCGTCGCTTTTATCTTACTCTGGCAAGAAGAGCGACTGCTACCTACCCCTGCAACGAGCTGCAACGAGCTTTGACTACGGTTACCTAGGCCACAGGTGAATACTCTGTTCTTTCCTTGAAATAAATTATTGACAGTCACGTGAGCGGCGCCTCCGAAGCCGGTAATGAAATGGCAACTGAACGTGGAAAACAGTGCTTCGGACTGCCCGGGGCACCGTTTGTGACGCACAAAATGGTCGGCAAAAAGGACGACCAAAAAGTGAGCCAGCCATGGTTCCAGTATGCGGCCCGAGAGTGGGGCAACAGCCAGCTCGCAAAGACCACAGGCTTTTGGACAACGTCTCAAGTGGCAGTCGTGATTGCGTGCACCCGGGCCCTTTCATCGAGTAAAACATCATTCCTTCAATTTCGGTCGCATTCGCGAGTGGAGTACGTTAAATGCATTGCGAACGCGACGTGTGGCGGGCAATGACGCCGTTAACACGCGTTGGGGTGGGAGTCAAATTGACCCCAAGGGAACGGTTTTCCGGAACGGTTTCCGTGCGACGCAACATAGCGTCGCTCGGAAAATTCTGTACAAATTTTGCACAACTGTAGGCGATTGAATAGCGGATCATGTGGTGTCAATCAATTGGATGCATCTTTTAAGGTATTTAAGGTCAGGTATGAAAGTCAGACCAAGCTCAAAACCAACCTGTTTTATTGCTCTGGGGCTCGCTATATGAGGTAACTTTTGGTGCTAATTTCGAATTTATTGGTTAGAGGAACTGCATTAGGCATCTTTCATGGACTTCTTAAAGGTAATAATATGTCACTGACCTCAAACGACCCAGGTCAACATTTTGTTTTTAGGGACATGCAAACTCAAAGCAGTCTTGTATGATTTTAGTCACCATGACCTTCAAAAAATCAAAAAAGGGTCACTGACGTTAAATAAGCATGTGAAATTTTGCTCTAAACAGGTATCTAGATCCTGGGGACACTGGAGACCAACTTGGCGTTTGACCTTGTTTGACCTTAATTGACTCGAAGGAGATGACCTAAGATCCTCAAAATCTGACTTAAGTGAGTTCACGTACAGGCCAACACACCCTATGACTTTGGTGTTTCTAACCCTTGTAGTTCCTGATATCTCAGGGAGTCATATTGACCCCCGCCCGAGTGAAGGATATCCAACCGGCCACCGGGGCGCGTGTTCCACTGAACCACGTGGATCAATCTCGTCAGGCTCCACCGCGCCCGCGCCACATCCCGGGGCGGTAACTCGCGGCGATCGAAGGCGGCGGCGGCGGCGGCGGCGGTGGGTACTCACAGTGCACGGGCACCTCTTTGGTGCTGCGCAGCGGCACCAGGCGGGGCAGCAGGGCATTGGCCGCCTGGCAGGTGAGCGTCAGTGGCGCGCCGCTCACGGCCCCCACCAGGGTCAGCACGCTGACCGTCACGTTCGGATCCAGGGAGGGCTGCCGACGTCCGACGGCCGTCAGATGCGTGTGACACGATGGCGGTCGCGCCAGCTCCCTTCGGGAGGCCGGGCAGCTGCCGGGCGTCGGGTGGAAGACGTTCGTGTAGCACATTTGTCCCGTCAAGATTGCATTAGCCCTCAGCCGTGCTCAGCGGCGTTGTTCGAAGTTGTGAACCGAAACAAAGTGGCCTAAGCTGTTGGTAAGCCAACACAGCGAAGGGGCTTAGTTGATAGCAAGAAAACAAACGACAAGAATATAAGTTTACAATAACAGCAAAATGAATTTTTATTGCCTTTATATGAGTATCTCAGTGACCGTAAAGTAATTCGGTCATTCACTGCAAACAAAACTGTTGACATTTGCATTCACGTAAAACACGAGCGGGTGCCATTCACTGGCTGGCCCTCGAACCCTCTAATCCGCCTGAGTCACGCTAGTCACACAAACCCACGCTGCCGCGGCGGTAGCTGAGCCAACATAGCGTGCGGCATATCCAAACCCAATCCCGCTGTATAAAGAAAAGCGATACACGCCAGAATGAGACCTTCCTCAAACAGAGCGACCACCACCCGGGAAGTTTAATGTCTCCCGCGAAGTTTCCGCCTCATCGCCACAGCTGCCGTTGAGAGATGAATGGCCCACCCAGGCGGCGAGCCGCGGCACTCACCTGCTGCCTGACGCTGGTCATCTCACGTTGAGCGCCGTCCAGCCAGGTGACCTTGGCCGCCGGCCGCGACCCGGCCGCCGTGCACGTGATCTCGTAGGTCAGCCCGACGCGCAGGTGTTGAGGCACGCGGCCGATCTTGACCGTCAGCGGCGGCAGCAGCATCTCGACGCGGACGGCGGTGGATCGCGGTGCCGTCAGGTTGCTGTTGGAGGCGGCGCACGCCAGCTCGCTGTGCAGGTCGGTGCGCGACAGCCGGGGCACGGTCAGGTCGTTGCGCACCACGCCGACGGCAGTGGCCACGAAGCTGCGGTCGAGCGCACGACCGTTCCAGAGCCACTCCAGACGCGGAGACGGCCGACCTGCCGCGGGTGGGGGGGGGATCAACGCTCGAAACGCAGCGGCGGCGGCTGAGGCGGCGCCTCGTTGGCGGCTTGGACGGGCTGGGGCCGATGGACGTCGTGTTTTGGTTTCCAGGAGTTCCGACTTCAGGCGAGTTGTTACGGACACCAGCTACACGGAAAGCCACTCACGCAAATACACATCGCATAATGTGTATCACTTCCGCAGCTGTACAGTGGGGGGGAGGGGGCAGATTTCCGGTAACCGAATCGTCCATGCCCGGTTCGTCAAAGCATGTTTGGAAAGCATACAAATGCTCGTGTTTTGACAAAAGGAGCTGACAAAAATGAGGTGTGTAAGTAGCCTACAGTGCGTGCCAATGGCATTGAGAGCTTTCAAACGCGTTCTACGTAATACAAGGTACGCACGAAATGTCCAGATTGCTGCACCAGTAGCTATAAATATGAAAGTTTACTAAGTTGTTGGAACAATTTCCATAGTTTGGCAGAGTTTAAAAGCAAAATTGAGCGGTGCACAGACACGTGGAAATGATCTGACAGCAAAACACCATGACGTAACAGGACACAGGCACAAAGAGAGGCACTGACTCCGCCCCTGGCGAAAGTTAAGGGGGCACATCAATGTTTTGCGGAATGTTCCTTTTTGCATGCCACGCATCGGTGTGACGTTAGAACCTAGGAAAATCAGAAGGGACTTATCCGTCGTGTCCACGGTCGCGGACACGTTTCTGTTGCCAAAGATCAGCTGTTTTTTTTTTGTTCCCGACATTTATCCTCATGAGGCATCTGAAGCAAAAGGGCGTCAAAGAAATTGACCAGTCTTAATGTTGTCTTGATAAAAATAGCTTTACCGCTATTGCTCCATTGCAAACATCTCCTCATCTAATATTGAATATATCCCATGATTCATAGTGATCTGCAGTCCAAACATAGTTAGAAACGGGTGCTGGACAAACATGGGTCATTACGGCCGAGACCACGTGCTCAATCTGTCTTAATGTCAAAACCTGAGCCTTTCCGATGTTTCGTGACGCAAGAAACCCACGGAAAAACGTGCAATGTCTTTATATCAATCACGGTCTCGAACACATGATCCTGGAGGCTAAGTCAAGAGAAGTGGAGCCATGATAACCCCACAGGATCTTAGCATGATTCACTGTGATGACTGTCCCTCAAGCTACTTGCTTTTTTTGCAACATCGGGGGGGGGGTCAAATTGACTCCCCCCGAAGGTTCTTCCAGAATGATTTCCGAAGAGCGCGGCGCAGCCGCGCCAAATTTTGCATAGCTGTAGACAATTGAATAGCAAACCGTTTGTTGAACCAATTTAGATGTACCTTGTGAGGTCACTGACCTATTGCAGGCCAAAGTCAGGCCATGATTTCAGCGAAGCCAATTTCTAGGGAATCGTTCAATCTGACGCGACAACGGAGTGTGAGACAAAGCCATACATCTTTAAAATGCTTTCTTAGACAACAAAGCAACGGAATGAGCAAATTGCATTAACCTAAGGTCAGGTATGAAGATCAGACCATGGTCAAAACCAACCTGTTTTGTTCTCTAGGACTTCCTGTATCGGATGGCTTCTGATGCTCATTTATAATTTATTAATAGCAGGAACCACGTTCTACATCTTTCATGGATTTCTTAGAGATCAGAATAGGTCATTGACCTAAAATGACCCAGGTCAACATTTGGTTTTTAGGAGCAAACTGCCTAGCGTAATTTTTGTCGCTTATTCAAATGCAAAATTCATAGCAGTTTTGTATGACTTTGGTCATCATGACCTTTAAAAGGTCAAAAAGGTCACTTATCTTAAATGAGCATGTGTTCCTTTGCTTAGAAACAGTTATCTATCTTCTGGGGACACTTTGGAGACTAACTAAAATTTGACCTTGTTTGACCTTATTTGGGCCGAAGGTCTAGGAGCCTCAAAATCTATCTAAGCTTAAAAGCCTGTAAATCTAAATTTTGGCCAAAATCTAGGAGCCTCAAACTTTGACCTAAGTTAGTTCATGCACAAGTCAATATGCCCTACGAATTTGGTGTCTCTAGCTCTTTGAGTTCTGGAGATCTCAGGGGGGTTCAAATTGACCCCTCCACCCGAGCGAAGGGTATCCAGCCGGCCACCCGGGCGCGTGTTAACAATTTTGTTGGTCAAATGGTCCGTCCTAGCCAAGTTCATATCTCGTGCTAGAAAAGCAACGCAACATATCGGTTGACCTGTCGCTGACCTCAGTTGACCACGCTGTGAAGAAATATCATAAAAGAGGACGAAGTCTAAATAAGACGTGTTCACTTAAGGTCATGTGGTCTGGTCTTCCTCCACTCGCCCATGCTTAGGTATCATTCCCATGTCGGTATTCACCTTCGCCAATATATTTTTCGTCCCGCGCCAAATAAGGCGTCTTACCTGCTCGTAAGAGAAGGACAAATAGCGGGCAACGTCTCAAGGAAATACACTTGCCGTTTTATAGCCCGTGGGACTGCTTCCTTTATGGATTCTCATCAAAGGCTTGCATTTTTGAGCGCTGTCAAGAGTGACAAACAACTTTGTGACTCCCAATGAAAGCCCGACAGTGCAGCCCAGATAATTATGAACCTCAACAGGGGGCGAGCATACATTGCTGTTGTGAGCATGCTATGTTTACAGTGTCATGGGATCCTAAGGCTTGAAACCATTGTTATGAGATGCCAATAAATCAAAAAACACCAGGAATAAGGATTACATACTCACTGCAATCTGACAGCGCTCAGTGCACAAAGGAGGTATACATACATAGGTACATACATACATATATATATATACAATACATTGTATACATATGAAATATACACCATATATCTACGTATGTAGTGCATATTTCATGTCTATAAAGAGAACATCTGACAGCATACATCTTGACGTTGTCGGGTGTTCCCTCTGCATGCCATAACAATGTCAGACTGTATTGCTAATACGCAACAAGTTTTACCAGGTGTTGCCGTATAATGTATATATATATATATATATATATATATATATATATATATATAGTGCTGATTTAGGCGGAAAACAGCAGTGCGGTGCCACAAAGCGAGGATCGCTGCGCCATTTCAGCGTCAGTGGCAGCGCGTGGCACGCACACCAGCGGGAGGACGCTCGATTCGCGAAAAGCTGTTTCAGCACCCGATATCGCCGCTTCTCAGAGCCGGGCTCAGGTGTCTCGGAGCCGTACTCATTACAACAGCCTACAATAATTGCTGTTTATTGTCTCGTCGCTCACTGCTGTGCCTGGCACACTTGGGCGAGCTCCGTAGGACCTAAGTGGTGGTGCCGTGGACTGACAAATTAATCCTGGACGCACCCACACAGAGCCCGATGGCTGGTACCGAAACAAAACGGCTGAGTTGTCACCGCATATAATTCGCTGACCTCAATAGAGCATCCTCAGACCAAATAAATGATAAGGAAAAAATAAAGATAAATGAAAGCAGGCGCAGGTAAACATACCGTATTATATTACGGAAGAGATGTAGATCTATAACGGTTTCAACAAATTTCGATGCAACCATTTCACCGAGCTATGATCATTGGGACACTTTTATTAGCATACCAAGGGATTGATGCCATCGAGCTATCACTTTTTGGTTAAATTTGTGAAAGGCTGCAATAACTCCTAACGTTCATTACATTTTGATGTGGTCAGGTGTTCTCTCTTTATGCCGTAACAATTCTGTGAAGATTAGTAGCTTTTAATGGACCGTGGGGCAAAGGAGTACACCATGGGACCGGTACAACATATGACGGTGCTTCGGGCAAGGCGAGTAAAGCCGGGTGAAAATTACAACAGGGGCAAGAATGTCAAGACAAAAATAAAACTTCGTTAATAGATGCGGAAAGGTGGACACCTAATGTTAGCAGTTAAGCGAGACGAGCTCTTTCTATTTGGCAAATCCCGGCAACAGGCCGGGCGAAACTTCAGACTCTATTGCTAATACGCAATGAGCTTAGCATGACCGCTGATCCCAGAAATCCATCCATTCAATGGGTTCGGATCAAATTTATAAAAATGAGCTCTACCCCGTGTCGCTGTTGCGTGCTAGTCCAACTGTCACCCAAGGCGTTCCTACGAAAATGACTATGCCACTTCCCTGTTGTGTTGTTTCACGTGGATCGTTTCGTCGTGATGCAGCACACAAACACCACTGCCATGCATTCCTGGTGGCTTGTGGGCGGTGCGCATTTAAGCAGGTATATCATCACAAGCACCTGGTCGTGGACCAAGCAACGACGTGGCGCTCTGTTAGCGGGTGATCCAGCACTGCGCGCCAGGGGTGGAGGAGTGCGACGCTACTAATGGATGCGTAAGCTGTCCGGCGGTGTGTAGACAATGGATGTTAAAAAATAGCGGACAAAGTGGTATGTCCATCATAGCTGCCCCCCGGGCCCCACTCCGGTGGATTGGCATTACTGTAATGAGGGTCCCGCTGTGATCTGGCCGCCGCCAAGTCGCAAGGCCGCAAACGTAAAGAAAGCAGAACAAAAATGAAGCTTTTATTGCCAGCGGTGATAGGCTTGGGCTTCTGAATGTGGTGTTATTAGGTGCTGATTAAAATGGGGGTCCATCGCAATGCACTCCAGATATAATCGGGGTTCATCGCAATACATTCTAGATTTCGTGTCTCGCCATATTCCTGCCTTGGCTAAGATTTGATATAAAAGGGCTTTGCGAGCTTTTGTCGAGTAGGTCTCAACAGCCTTTGCCTGGGTGTAAGGGGAAATTAGCCCACCTCTGAGCTTCGAATACAGCATCCAATCCGTAGCAGGCTGGTTCAATAAATTACTGGTTCACAACATCTGATTAGTCTGAGCATTCTGAACCAAAAATGTGTTTTGGGTTTTGGGCACTAAACTATGACATAGGTTGCAAAGGACTGCGGACGCTTGTGGCACAACATGCAGCAATTCGTGCCTAGACTTTCTTGATTTGGATTTAATTGACACAGTTCATCGACTGG